AGTTTGTAAGTGGTTTTGTACAGCAAAGTCTTACTGAAGTCAATATATGTATATATGTGTGTGTGTGTATATATATATATATATATATTTACTGCTTCTCCTCTATCTACATGGCCTATTACCCTCTCCTGCAAGGAAAGTAGAGGCTTGACATGATTTATCCTTGAAAACTTGATTTTCAGTGTTGCTTGCTGTGTTTTCATTTAGGCACTTTCCCCTCTCCCTGTTTTCTGAAGAATTAAAATAAAGCTGCCTAGGTCTTTAATATCTTGGCCTTTCCTTGTCTCCATTTTCAAGATAAGACTGTATTTTGCCTTTTCTTTTCTTTCAGAACCTCATTATTTGTCCATGAACTCTCACAGTGAATTTCATTGATACTAAAAAAAATGTGTTACATTTTCAGTTGCTCCCCATATCATCACTTCTTTTCAGAAATATGTGTAAGTGTGTGGAATTCCCCTCTTGTGTTTTTTTTTTTCTCTCTTTGGTGCCTACAGTATATTTCTTCCATGCCGATCGAGTTCTGACTATAGCGCTGTAAACAAAAATTAGGGCCACTCCTCCCTACATCAGTGTTGATCCCAGTTCCACAGGAAAAGACGATTGGCAAAGCTAGGATGTATACTTTAAAAATTACTCATATACAGTCTAAAGAGAAATACTTTAATGCTATAGAAATTAAAAAAAAAATCATAATTGCTATAACCTGTAAAATTGTGCTTTATTAATGGCACTGGCAAATCTTCTATGAAGACTATAAAAACTTCCTAATTCTTATATACTTTTACTTTATAGGTTTGCTAAAATTCAGCTGTTTAAGATTAAATTTAGACTGACCTTCAAGCCTTAAATTTTGTAGGGTTTTTTTCTTCATTTTACCCAAACCAGTCACAGTAGTCCCAGTTTTAACCTTGGAAAGTAAAATTTATTTAATCGTGTGAAAATATTCTAGCAACTTTTTCTTACAATAACACAATCAATCTTGAAATTTGGACAGCTGTATTTTTATGATCATGGATATATTTTTTGCTATCCATCTGAAAATATCTCCTATTTACAAATTGCTATTGTAGCATTCTCATATGATCACTAGAAATTTCTTTGGTTTTTGGTTTTCCATTGATCTTTTTCAAATATTTCTTCTTCACTGGAACATGCATAGCACCTTAAGGACCAGTCTTTCAATCCCTGTAGGTGACTGTTCATGTCCTGTTTCACCTCCTACAAGTGCTTATCTGACTTGATAATTCTTTAATATCAGAGAGACATTAGAAAAGTCCCTTTTTATTCAAGGCTTCAAATAGAAAGCAGTTTTTTTCTTGTATTTTTGTTGAACATTTGAGTTGGTGCTGGGTACCGAAACCATTTTTGTTTAGCAATTCATTTTAGTTGCTGTACCTTTTCTATGTATTTATACAGTGGTTCCTTAACTTCTGTTCTGTTTAATCATACTTAAAGAATTTTGTACATATTCCTTTTGGATAACATCACATTTTCAATTCACCTATCATACTGAAGGCATCTTCTTTAGGATGAGAAGACCCACAACTAATAGAAGTGCTATATTTCGCTGCATCTATTCAATGACCATGAAAGAAGTCAAGGAGGTTGAATTTAGACATAAAAAAGCATAGCTCAGATATCTGTAACTAGGTGTCTCACTCCCTGAGGGGCTAGCTAGGAAAAAAAAATAAAATATGAATATCATTTTTTAATCTGATGGAGAAAGGCATATAGAAATGAGATAGTAAAAATATTTATTTGGTCCATTTTACATAAATTAAAATTTTCCTTACCAGTGGCAGGCCTTATTGCCATGAAAAAAGCTTCACTTAATGCAGAGGTCAGAGAAGGAACCTGTATCAAACAGCTTTAATGATGAGACTCTTATTTTTTTTATGTGCCACAGATTGGAGGGGTTTTGTTAGATTTCTAGTAAAGCCATCATATTTATTATTAAAATTTTAAAAGCATGATAAGGTTAGGCAATGCTTTGAAGGAACATTAATAGTTGGAAATTCTTTGCCAGCACTTTAGAATGTTTTTAACCTAGCTATCACATTTCATGCAGCCAAATGTTTTAGTGATAAAATATAGTCAGGACCCAAATGAATAAATGAATAATTGCTTTAGCAGAATAAAAGTAGTTTCTGACTCTGCAGACATTGGCTTTGATAAATACAGCTGCCACCTAGGATAAAGCTGATATTGCCTTTCAATGTGTGCCCTTATTAAATAGAGATCTTGCTATAGGTCTTACTATAGCATGTGGGACAGAATCACTCAGGGTGCATTGGTTTTCTTTTCTTTAGAGGTGTGAGTTTGAAGCTATTTTTTTCGCAATGACCTACTGATTTCAAATGGCTATTTGACTTATTGTTCATTAACATTTCATATCTTCATTGATAAGGGAGATAAATACCTCCCTGGGCTAGTAATTGCCTATGGAGTTTAATGCCTTCAGATGAAAGAATCCAATGCACTACTGACTGAGCAGATTAGAAGCTCTTTTAAGGATTTGGGATTAGTAGGGCTCCATAAATGATCTGAACCTAAGGTCAGTTCTACAAAGGGGCTTCATGCAAGTCTTTGCAATGTAAGCCTCTGGGTTTCTGGTACTGAAGGTGGCATCCAGACTCTGCATTAGATGCTTTTGTTACTTGTGTGATGCCTGAAGAAAGTTGATGCCTTACACTAGAAATCCTAAGAACCAGAACAGTGAGGAGTTCACTAAGACCTCCTGAAAGCTGGCAAGTGCAAAAGGCTGGAAATGAGTGCTTGGTTGCACTACTCAAGGCAAAGCAGAACCTTTCTTGATGGCTCTGTTGGCCACAGCCCAAAACCTTCCCAAGAGGAATTCCTTCCTCACTACTTTTACAATTGGGAAAGTAGGGTATGACTAGTACTTTTGTACAATTGACAACTGAATAGCACCAACAAATACCCTGAACATGGGAGGCCTGAGTTTGGTATCTACCTCTGCCTATGAATTTCCAAATATGCTTCCCCCATCTTCCTAAAAAGTGTTCTAGTTCCCAAGCCGTTAGCCTCAAATGATTTCTGAAGGCATCACATTCTGTTAACTGTGTCCTCCTTGTACAGAGCAGAAAGACTGCAGAAGAAAAGCAAGCCACAGGAGTGGCCAGTGCACATCTCACAGGACTGAGACTGTTGGACAATAGCTGAGCTATGACTACCTGCCAGAGTAGGTGATACAACCAGCAAATTTGGCAAACACAGTAAATCTTTGGGTGTTATGGGAGAAGGTTTCAAGGACATCAGCTAACACAATAGTTGTCTCAACAAAAGAGAGTGCTATCTCTTGTTTAGCAAAGAGATAGCCAACTAGTCTGCTGTGCTATTTATATACCTGTTTTCCACCTTTTTCACTCCCTTCAACACCTTACTGTTTCATTAAGCCAGTTGATTCATCATTTGAGAGTGGAAAAGTACAGCTCACTGAGCACCCAGACAGTTTAATTTAATTTTCTCAGGTTTTTAGATGGGGGCTCAATTTGTTGTGACCCCTAGAAATTGGACCCAGCCCTTGCTGTTGCTAATCAAATCCTGGCAGTCTGTTACACCAGGGAGAAGAGTTTCAAATTGTAGTGGCATTAGTTTGTAGAAAAGTTTATTTTGTTAGACCTGACATGATAATGAACCTTCTCTTTATCCATTTCAGCAGACAGAAAAATTGGTATTGGATATAAACAGCTGTGTAGTGAGGAAGGAAAAATGTGTCTACTTCCTTATTTAGTTATAGCATAGTAATTTCAGTACAAGAAGGACAAAGGATGGAACAGCTGACTTTCAGACATTAGGGCTTTGTCTGTACTTTCTAATTTTTGTTTGTTTTGTTTATGTAATGCTATTTTGTGCTTGAAAAATTAGAATTACTGTTTTTCTCTTATCCAGGTATGGTTATCACTTTCTGTGTGGAAAGGCCTTCATCTTCATGTCAGTAATTCGGATAGAAAGGTGATGAGTTATCCCTTATGACTCTGTTTCAGCATTCTGCTAAATTCAACAGGGTATGTATAATTTTGACCACAACAAATGCAATGTACAGACTTTATAGGAAAGTAAAATTCAGTTATCTAGTAGGGCAGAACTTGTGCTGAAAATAAATACAAGTTGATACAAAATTAAAGAGCTGTACACTTCAAACAGGGATCAAATTTTCTTTTAAATACATATATTTAACCCATGGAATTGACATTTCACAAAGTCAGACATTATTTATGACATAGATGACAGTTTACTGTATAAGATTTTTTTAAATATTAGTTATCCATTTTAATGATGTAAAATGTGTAGCTTTGTGAATAGAGTCAATATAACATTCATTAGTCTTCAAGTAGAAGTCTGGCAAAGTAAAAATTTTGCAGTACCTTTCCAAATGGTTTTCTGTTCTTTCACCTTTCCTTAACTGGCAAAATGCACTTTAAGGGTTTCATTTTTCTCTGAACTATGAATCTGCTGCCCAAGGCAAGAATGAACAAATGTATGGTCAAATCCAGTATAGCAAGTCTTATTTTCTTTGATAATGGCAACTTTGATCTGCCCAAGAAACCTATTTGGGGAAATGTTCCAGGAGAATCCCGCTGGTGCTTTAATTGATTAAACAAAAAACAGAAACAGAAAAATGCTTTGCACTGTCAAGATGCGCAAGGAGAGCTGGCAATGTGTGCTTGCAGCCCAAGGCGAACCATATCCTGGGCTGTCCCAAAAGAAGTGTGACCGGCAGGTCAAAGAAAGGTGATTCTGCCCTTCTACTTTGTTCTCATGAGACCCCACCTGGAGTGCTGCATCCAGGTCTGGGGTTCTCAGCAAAAGAAGGACACAGATTTGTTTGAGACAGTCCAGGGGAGGGACACAAAGGTAGCAGCACCACTCCTATGAACACAGGCTAAGAGTTGGGATCATTCAGCCTGAATAAGAAAGTTCCAGGGAGACCTTATAGTAGCCTTTCAATACCTAAAAGGGACCTACAAGGGAGCTGGAGAGGGACTTGTGACAAGAGCCTGTAGCGATAGAACAAGGGGGATTCAGCTTTAAACTGAAAGAGAGCAGTTTAGAACCTACTTACTTTCAGTTTAGAACAGTTCTGTTCATATATTTGTTCCTCTCACAACAATTTCTGATATTGTAGTAACTTAAAATTAAATGCAAACAATACAAATATATTCGTCTACTAACAAAATATGGTTACCTCAATAAATTACCATGTATTAGAAAAAACTTTGGTTTATTAACAAATTAGCAATGAAAATACAGAATATGTCACCTTTGAAGCACATTTGAAAGGGATCATTTCCTAAGACTACTAGACATTAGTGAGAGACTTCTCTGACATTGATCCCTGATTTTATTTTTTAAAAAATGTGGTTTGGTGTATTGTTTTAAAAAATGCCAATGATGGGGAAAATATCAGCAAAAAAAAAACATTATTGTTCCTACAATTTTATCTTTTTTTTAATGACCAAAGACCATCTTTATGAGATCCATTAGCATTGAAGGCATTCTGCATACCTTTCAGAATTATACATCTGAAACCTGCGGCAGGGCAAGAACAGAATTTTAAGTTCTGAATGAAAAAACTTTCATGAATAACTATGTTTTCATTGTTTCTAATATTAAACAGAAATAAAACCCCAGTAAATTAGTTTTGGATTAGAAAAAATATTCTATTAAACCAAAAGAAAAATGTTAATAGTAAGCAATATATTTGTTTATCTAAAATAGATCATTTTGAGCTTTTAGCTTATATGAGTTTTTTTCAATGTAGCAAAAGCTAAAGTAACTTAATCATATTTTTGAACTGAAAAATTAAAGCTATTTCAGAATGCCTTAAATTAGTTTTCAGGAAGATCTTTAAAAAGCCTCAAATGAAACAATTTTGCAACTGACAAGAAATTGTTAAATATTTCAACTCCAAAAGAGGAGAAAAAAAAGAGGAATATTTACAACAGCACTTTAGAATGAAAGTCTAATTTTTTTGTTGTTGTTCTAAAAATGATCACACATCACCTCTTCAAAAGATTAGTGCTTTACTAATTTCTGATAGAGTTCTTATAATGATTCTATTCAGCAACATAGAAATAGCGGTGCATGACATCCAAGATTTATCAAATGACGTGAAATGCTCAGTGATCAGTAGTGGATTTTCCTCTGTATTTGCTTAATATATAATGGTTTGCTACACGTTTACGCATTGCAAATGCACTGCAATTGCATCTCTTGAATTAATTCCTGATTAAGAAGAGAAACTAAAGGTAGGTCTAGACTGTATGTGTAGCCAACTGTAGCTACAGGACTGTTCCCATAATTAATACCCCCAGATGAGGCTATCTTGCCTAAGATTTCAAAAACCTCTACAGTCTAAGCGTGATTAGATTGCCGAGATGAGGCAGGCTGCATGTCTTGGTACTTAAGGTGGATTACTGGATTTATGGGACCAGTTTAGATTGAATTGCCTGTGCAAGATCTCTGTTGTGCTTTAACAGACTTAGGCTAACATCTCAGTTTCCAACAGTGGAAACTAAGGGGCACATTCGAAAAACCAGCTGCCAGTCCACTGGGAAGTGGCCTACATTGGAAATGGTCACAAACACAGACACGTGTGCACATGACGGCAACTGTCATTTCCCAGCTGAAATTGATAGCTTGTTGTGTGAGCGTTTCTCTCCTACATAGCACTCCTGGTGGTGTCCGTGTTTGATTTCCTTCCAGCAAGGCAGAAGGTGAGAGACATTCACATCGGCAGGCTTCAGTACTCACTGTAGTCTGGTGGTATCCAGCTATTTGCGGCTTCCTCTGCCTTTCCTCTCTTCCAGTTCAATGGTTAGCAACTCAGCTTGTAACACCTCTCATTTGAGAACAAACCATCCACACTGGTGTGCATCATGTGAGAAACCTCAAACCAAACCCCGCCAAGGGAGATGGTGACTTTCTTTCTCCAGTGACAGAAAAGCTCACAATGGCTAGAGTCCCAGATAAACACATCAGCTATTTGCCTTAGTTGGATGCTATGACAGATCTGTAACAAATATTCAGCTTGTGCTGAGAATTCCTAGTATCTTTTCAGAAGAACAGAGAAAAAGGTTTCTGCTGCAGAAAAACTGCGTCTCCTTTTTTCTACTGCAGTTTTAAAACCTCATGTCTACTTTGTAAATAAATTCTGACAAGACAGTATCTGTTACCATTTTGTTTTCCAGTCAGAAAACTTGCCTCACATGTTAGTCATATGTGTAGATGTTACACATTTATTCACTCATTTTTTGTATTGTATTTTTTTCTGATCACCTAGAAAATATATTAAAGCCATTCTATGACACCATAGTGATATATATCGTTTATGCAACTTCATTTTTTAATCAATGACAGTTAAGACTAGAACTCTGACCCTGTTTACAATGCATAGAAATTGTGAACACCTTGTTTCTGGGCTGATGCTGCACTTTAGTGTTCATGCAACATATATTCAACAAAGTGTTTTAGTTCTCAGATTAAGTCGTCTGGCTGAGATTGGAGCTCAGTTGCCCTTGTGTCAAAAGACAAACATGGTACAATTTTTTCACACCTCTCTAAAAGAGACTTTATGTGAATAGCAAGTCAACTGCACAAAGACAATGAACAACAGAATTTACTAGAAATTTTTAATCCAGAAATTAATTACAGTTCAGATCTTATAATGTTGAGAAACAGTTACTAGTGCCATAAAGGAATGAAAAAATAATTTAACCTGCACTGGTAGAACGACTTTTTATGTTCAGAATTCCTTTATTTCTGTATGAAATTTCAGTACACCATTTTCAGCTAATAGAGTAGCCCAGCATGTATCAGCACAGGGATGAATATACTAAAAGACAGCATGCATAGATGATCAGTTATTTGATGTTAATCCTTTTGCAATCGCAAATCTGTCCTGATGCTTACACTTTTTAAACATCTCTATTTGCTAGAAATATCTAGAACACTGTCCTCAGTTTTGTTTTATATTTGATTTTTTATATAAACTTATTTGTGAAATAACATCATGATATTCGACTGATGCTTGCACTAAAATATGTATTCCACAATTCGTGGACTTAAATGCTACTAGAATTACATTTAAAGAAATACTTGGGTTTTATTTCACAGAGAGGACTCTGTTCCTTTCTTTCACTGACTGTAAAAATAGAAAATGTTCAGTTATTATTAGAGAACAGTAACAAATAATGATTTATTAATTTGGAAATCAAAGTTATTATAAAGAAAAAATTCAGGTCAAATCAGTCCAAATTTTCAAAGCTTCACTGATTGCAAGAATATTGCCAGATCTCTACTAGCTATGACTCCTGTAGGAAATATTCATTTTTTAAATGGATGCAGTACGAGGATGCAGCGCAGGACAATATTTACTTCTTAACTTTCCTCCCGGTTTTGAGAATGACATTAGTGTGATTCAAGCTTGTCTTAAACTGAGCTGTCAGATGGCTTCTTGTATTGACTTCTTAAAGGCTAAATCTGGTGGGACATGGCACTGTTTCAAACCATTCTTGCCTAACTATTATCCGCTTGGTGCTTTGACATTGGTTGGCCTTGACATTTTCATCAGGCTTCAATAAGAAGTCTTTCAGAGTACAGTTTGTATTTCTAAGATGATTTCTTAGAAGATAATACAAATTAACTATTTTGTCTTTCACACATTCTGAAGCTGTTTTGTGAAGCAGTTTTCTTGGTATAAAAGAAATGTAGGAGGAACAGGAAACTCCATTTGGATTGCCAGTAAAGACTCCATATGTTTTCTTGGTCCTTCAGGGGATTGACAAGATTATTTAAGAACAGATTGGTCAGACCAACCAACCATCTTCTCAGTATCCATAATATTTCTGACAGTAGCCAATAGTAGATGCTCAGGAAAGAATATTCAAATAATTCAGGGATTATAGTGAATGTCCTCCAGAATATTCTGCCAACAAATCACTACTTAGAAGTTTCCTCAGCTAGAGGGGAGATATTCTTCACCTCATGAAAACATAATATTACGATCTGCCTCTGAGGCAGGGTAAATGAGGTTCCTCTTAATAAATCCCTCAGGATGAATTAGAGTGAAACAATACTGCATAACTGGGGTATATAAGAGGTAGATTTATTTTAAAAATATTTAATTGCAGCAATACCAATATTTAATTGAATCTTTGCTATAGAAATATAAAAATATCACAAAGAAAATTTATAAGAAAAAGAGAGAAGGAACCAACAAGAGTAGATGCTGGAAAGATGTCACCACCCATGGATCCAGTGATGAGACTTGACTGTTGGAATTTTGATGTCAGTGGTAGGAGTAATGGTCACGGTCTTGATCCATTGAGGGTGGAGACACATGAAACAAGGAGTTTGTTGGGTTATATACCTTCCAGTTAACATGGAAATGCCTAGATGCCTCCCCAGGGAGGGAATTCTTATGTCTGATATAACTCTATGAGGTATGCACAGTTTTCTGATGGAGTGTTCCCCAAAAGAGTTAGGGGGTTCTTTGGGGTCCTTGGTGTTCCATAGCTCCTTCTAGGGATATGACCACTGTTTGACCATGGTTCTTGCAGCTGTGCCTTGTGGTGAAAAGGGGGAAGTTGGCATCAAAAAGCATTACTCCACTTCCATAGGATCTGCTTCTCACTAGTGGTTCCTCTTGGTTTGAAACAGCTTAAGACATCACATTCTCAAATGTCCTGGATGTAATCAACCATCAAGCAACCTAGACAATGGTTAGGTTGCCACACGTAATTTTGTTTTCTGAGGACCTTGGTTTTGAACATATAAAAGGCTTTTGTATCCGCACACCTGTGGCAAGGAATTTTTAAGTTGAACTGCATTGTGTGCGAAGGATGAGGTATAACATCTTGTTTATTTTAGACCTGGTCACCCTACTTTGTCTGCAAGGTCAGTCATCACTGCAAATATCTCTATCATACCATTCTTCTAGAGTCCTAAGATGAGTAGTCTGCATCTATTTGATCCTTTCTCTTGAGGAAACTGCTCTGTGAATTTGATTTCTTTAGTCACCTTCCATTGATCTCTCTTCATTTCTTCCATATTCCTCAGCTATAAGGGATTGGAACTACACAGTGTGTAGGATATGGGAAAACTATGGGTTTATGCAATTAGATTAAATATTAAATTTAGATTAAAAATAAATATTTTATGGTTTGTTCCTTACTCCTTTTCCAGTAATTCCTAAAAATTTTCTTCTTCTCACTGCTTCTGAACAATGAGCCAGCATTTTTATAGAACAGACTAGTTCTGAAGTTCAAGGGGTATGCGGAATTTATGACTGTTTATTCCCATGTTCATTAACTTAAATGTATTTATATTTAATTTTATTTGCTGTTTCCTGTTTACCCTCTACTACTTCTATGCTGATACCAATGGTGCTTCCTTGTTGAGTCTAGTTACTTAACTTAGCTGTGCAAGGTAGTTATGCAGTTGCTAAAGAGAATGATAGTCTAAAATGAAGACTGCTATAAAATAAAGTTGACATCTCAGAAACATGTCTGATTTTATTAAATAAACATAGACAATATATACACATATCTGACCTGTTGATTATTTTACAACATTTCCAGCTTCCTGCTTCTATTTCTTTTAAATGTCCAGAAATATCACAAGCACAAAATAAAGATATAAAAATAATGTTCTGTGTTTCAAATGGATATAAGACTGGGAAATCAGTCTACTTTATAACACTACCAGTTTTGGACATTTATTCTGCAGTTTCACAGATTTACTAAGAATTTACATCTAGGTTAATTTTTCCTGTGTGTGATATCTCATTTCTGTGGCTCAGAGCTTATGTGTAAAGATTATCAAATGTCAAATGCAAATGTAGAGTGGATCCACGCTGTACAAAATAGTCCCTCACTGATATTGAGCTGACTATTCCCTTTAAATGTTAATGAAACTGTTGTAATTACTGAAATACCAAAACAGCCTAAGAGCTGGAGATCACAGCTGTAGCCCATTACTCATAAATTACTGGCACAGGCATGATCTTGGCAGAAAGAGTTGTACAAGAACTTGTTCATCATGCTTCCTTTTTAAGTAAAGGATGGAGACCAAGTACACAGAACACAGCCACAAAACTGAGGGACTTTGTTTTACTAAAGTATAAATCTTCTCCCCAACCAGGCTCCCTATCTTCCTGTCTATGTGTCCTCCTTCCTCCCTTTTTTTTTTAGAAAGACATGGAATCCAGATTATATCCTAAAAACTATTGAACATACAGTAAAATCAGTAAAATAGAGTGAGCCTCTCTAGATTTTTTTTTAAATAAAGATCCACTTATTGCATTTTAATCTGAAATTTATAATTATGCTTGCTTTTTCTCTTTTTTTCCTTTTTTCTTGCTTTTCTTTTAACAGGAAAACTGACTATATACAAAAGTAGACAGGCAGGATGGGAGGAAAGTGAATTAAGTAAGGGGGAGAAGGGCAGCACTGTCGCATTTTTTGTGGGATATTTTTTCACCCAGCAAGCCTGTGGCACAGATGCAGTGAAAAGGAAAATAGAGTAGTTGAATGGGGAAGTAACCTCAAGACAAAAAATGTCTAAGGGCTACGCAAGCATAACTAGGCAGTAAAGAACCAGTGATATCTATACTAAAGAAGGCTGGTGACACCTTGATTCTTTGATCTGTGAACTGTGTGACAGCCTTGCAAACGGATAGTTTATTATCTGGGAGGTGAATAGCAAAGTCCTGCAGCGTTTCACAGGGTTAATATGTATAAAAGAGCCATTTAGGAATAGAGCGTGGGAGGAGTTTCCTTCAGCATGCAAGGAGGTCGTACGTGCGTCTGTGTCTATATGTGTGTCTATGCGTGTGTGCTTGTGTGGAGCACTGCGCAGTACCCAGCTGGTCACATCAGCTGCAACTGAGCAGATGCGCACCGAAACTGATCATGGAATTGCCAAATATTTTTTAATTCACCTTCTGATGACACTTAAGGTGGTCCAAGCCCGACTGGGACCTTGCTCTTATTTTCGCGGAGAATCGCAATCGTTACACTCCATTTAAATTCAGGAATAAGCATCTCATGACGCCATGCCCCACTGCATCGGAACTGTATGAGCAAGGCGGTCTTCCACAGAGAGGGAGAGACAGAGAGAAGGAGAGACTTACCAGGCTGAGAAGAAAAAGAGACACTCTCTTGTTTT